GCTGATTGTTTTAGATAGAATGCCCTACTTGTTATTACATATAAGGATAGGCTCTTTTAAAAGACAAAAAAGCTGACATAACAGACCATTACTTATATTCTTTAATATTAGTTATTGCGGCATTATCTTTACAGGTCTAGTAGAGAATTTTGTGACAAAAAACTTTCTAGATTATAGAAGGGATATTGCGTGTCGGTTAAGTAGACGAACAGAAATAAATATTGCGAAGCGGTCCGCAGTGCCAAAAACCAGCACGATATAAAAGTTAGGCACAGGGTAATGTCGCAGCGCAATGGCAGTCGGTCCTTCTGGATACTGGCCAAGCAGATTGAAAGGAAGTTCTCACTCACAGAGTAGCCTTCCACCTCTTACGTGTCAGGATGGAACGATTGTAACCGACTCAAAGGTTAAGGCGATAGTACTTGTCAAGATTTTTGCTACCAACTCCACCTTGGACGTCACGCCCAACGCTCGAGTGCCGTTGATTCAAAGGTTTCCCTACACTAGACGGCCCGTAACATTCTGGCATAAGACTGTAAGATGGGTGCTCATGTCGCTCGACATCAACAAAGCTTCTGATCCGGACTTGATTCCTACTGTGTTGTATTGAAGAGGTCTGCAGCGGAGCTTACTCCAGTTCTTTCGCGTCCCTTCCAGATATCTTATGAATCCGGCACCTTCCCAGAAAACTGTAACTTTGCTCAAGTCCAACCCATCCCAAAAAAAGGATCCTAGACCAACCCTTACAACTACAGGCCTATAGCTCTGCTTTCTGTTATGTAAGGTGATGAACAGATGCATAAACCGTGAACTTCTGGACTACCTCGAACGCAGTTGTGGAGTAAACTCATCCATGTCGTTGCTCTTGATATCATGAAAGCATTCTATCAGCTGTGGCATGGTGTCCTCTTATGCAAACTTTCATCCTGTGGCCTCCCAGAGATGCTTTGCAGATGGGTGGCTGATTTTCTCTCTGGCCGCAATATATTCGTGGTAATTGACGGGTTTTCCTCTTCATCCCACAACGTCAACGCCGGTGTTCCCCAGGGATCGGTCTTGGCTCCGACACTATTCCTCTTACATATCAACGAACTCTTTTTCTGTACGGTCAACCGAATCCGTACAGTACTCTACATGCAGGAATTCAGAGCGACAAGCCAATCTCTGCCGGTGAGCTGGAAAAAAGAAGTCTAGCCAGCGACTTCCTCTCTCACGAGAGCCCTGAGGTTATCACTGCTTGGGGACGCAACAATCTGGTACAGTTTAATGTTTCCAAACCACAGTACTGTAGATGAACAAGAAGCGTCCTAGCGCTCATCCAGTTCCGATGGATGGCCGAGTTCTGCCAAAGGGCCGTTCATGTGGGTTGGTTGGAGTCCAGTCACCTAGGACTTGTTCTGGCACGAACACATCTCGTCAATAGCAGCAGCTGATGGAAAGAAGCTAGGCTATTTGTTTAGGGCTGAGAAGTACTCCAGACCTCCTTGCTCTATACAAGCCCAGGTACGAGTAAGACCTATCCTCGAGTATTAGTTACACGTTTGGAGTGCTGCCGCCTAGACTAGATATTTATGCTCGATGCTGTCCAGAAGAGAGCTGTCAGACTGATCGATTACTATTCTCTAATAGAGTGTCAGGACCGTTTCGCACCGGCGGGCTGTCGGCGATCTAGCTCTCTTCTACCGCTACACCAATGGGCTTTGCTCCTTAGACCTCTCCTCCATGATGCCGCCGTGCGATGTGCCTGCCGGATAGACCCGCCTGACTTCAGCCTCTCATCCTAACTGTGTCGAACTAAAGAACTGGCCGATACGACCGCTTCTTTGTTCCTAGGGCATTGAGGCAAGGCTTGTCCTAGTTCTACTAACCTGAGGCAGCTCATAAATCGGATTAATAAAATTTATTTGGGATCCTCATAGCAGCCGCGGGGTCCTGGCATTTAAGCTTCTGCCTGCGACGCGGTTTCGGTGTAAAAAAATATTATATATATTTATCTTACTACTGACACATAGTAACATTGTTACATAAAGGAACTGACAAATTCAAGATAGACACAATTTGACACAGTACATGATTCCAACAGCCTGTATCAAACATCATCAATCATCAATAAAAATTGCATTAATGCATATGCTCCGAAGGTCTAAGGTATCCCTTTGCTGTCTAATCTAAAATTAAAATACAAATTTGAATGAATGATGATTTTATATTTTCTTGTATGTTATATCCAAAAATACCACATGTATTCTCATTCCTACCCTCTGTGGTTGTAGCTAATCAACTATTTGTTCATTGTTCCTATGGATGATCTGATACTTTTATATTCTTGTTACGCGGTTGCCGAGCCTATTTAATAAAGAATTAAATAGAACTAAAAAAACTATCCATACAAGACCCCCTGAATAGCTAGTAGAAAGCGAAATTAAAAACCGTCAAAGTCTTCAGGGTATTCCATTCTTTTTTTTAAAAAAAAGTTCATTCTGCGTCATTTATCATTAAAAAATATCTGAATTAAGCTAAAATTGAATACAATAAGAATAAACAGAACATTCACTACTCCACCAGTCAAGATATCAGAAATGTAGGCTGTCAAGCCTTGGTGTTCCTACCCCTACTGTCTGTCGGTCGGTTTGTCCGCTAATCATTGGCCCGTCCAATACTTGGAAAGGACTGCTCGGATTTAAATTAAATTTTTCCAAAAAGTTACTGCTATGCCAAGGACGAAAAGCCTTTGTAGGCCTTGAAAATCTGTCCAGTGCGAAGCTACAGGCAAAAGACGAAAAAAAGTAGAAGTCGCTCAAACTCCGTTTGTTGACGTGTCAGATGAACCTGAACCCTTGGTTTGTTGTGGGGGTAAAACATTTGCGGGCAACTGCTAGAGCCTACCTGTATAGCATGGCTGGCGTTGCCAGATGGTCGATACCTTCATCAAAACCAGGTAAGAAGTGGATCGCAGCATTATGAAAGGGATGGGACTATTAACTAATTGGATGGGCTTGTTTGGCTGACTTGATCCATTTAGTTCTGTTTTTCTGTTATACAAACATGTTCGCAGTTAACTTTTTTCTTAAAATATTCGTAATAATCCTTTATGAACGGATGACAACGTTGTTTGGGAAGTGCAGAGTCGACCGACCTGACGCGTTTTTTTAGATAAAATAGCCAGTAACTCAACAACTAATAATCAAAACATATAGGTATGTTATGTCAATCTTCTTTTTCTTAAAGGGCTGCTCTAAATATAAAATCGGTCCCTTAAAACAAATCATTTTGGTATATGAGTCAAATTCGGAACACCCTGCATAATAGTTAAAATTTCAGTAATATGCCCCCAGATACAATATATAATAACCCATAAGCAAATTTCTTTCAAAAGTTATTGTTTATGAGCTTTACTCCATCCGTTAGAATACACCTATAACTATTCCGTGGACTAGTCAAGAATCATTTATGTTTATTGTAGTCGCGGTCGTAACATCGTATTCCTTGCAGAACTGAATTGTCCCTACGTAATAGAATGCCCTCGTTAGGCCATTTATCTCAATTTTACGTGTATCTCTCGTATTTTTCTCTAACAACGTGGCTAAAAGAGGTTTATTAGGTAAAACCCTTGCCAGAAGGACTCTTAAGTGTCGCCCCTTTTCAAGTTACGCTAACGACAATGATGTTTTTTGGCTAATTTAGTGTCTAGCAAGGTAGGCAAGCATTGTCGCCCTGAAAGTTGGTATGCTGTAGAAAGAGGTTCCTTGGACGGCAACGACTAAACTCCGAAACCTTGCAAGGATAAAGAAGCTAGAAACCTAATAATGAAGTAGGTATCGTACCGACCAGTTCTTAATGTAAATAGGGCTATTTAATGATGTGCCGAAATTACATTTTCGAAACAAATGTATGTAGAAAAGATCATATAAACATGCGTCCTGGAAAGTCTGGTTGTCAAGATACAGGGTGTCGAAATTTTATAAAAAATGTTGGTTACTTATTAACATCTCAAACATCCTTGTGCCGATTTTGTTGAATTTTGGCAGTATTGTTCACTGCAATAAGTTACAACCAGCACGAACAGGGTTTCCCAACCTTTTTTTTGTTGAGGCTCTCCGGACTATAAATTATATTTTCATGCCCCCCTTTACTTTTTCAATAAATACAAAAAAAACGCACATTATATAGGTACAAAGACTTTTATTTTAATTCTAATAAAGAAACTTTAAAAGTTTAAATAAACTAATAAATGTTTTTTATCGAAAAACTTGAATAAAATAAGAGTAGGTACTAATGAGACACTTAGATTGCATGTTCTGTATCAGTTGGTTAATTCTAGGTTCTGTTTTTGCCAGAGCAATCATCAGGTCGCTATCGACATCAGGAGGATTTCGCTGTTTAGTTTTGATTAAAACTAGAGCAGAAAAGCCTGTCTCACGTAAGTAAGTTGAAGAAAAGGGAACTAGTATTCGTAAAGCAAGAGAGGCAAGTGTCTAATCAACAGACAATCTTTTGATCCAACATTTCTCCAATGTTAAAAGATGGAAGTCATCTTTCATGGACGAAGACACTTTTTGATTCCAAAGTTGAAGGATTGATATGAACCTCTAAATATAATCATAATTTTTTATTATAGTTTTACTGCTGCCCTGAAGTTTCAAGTTTAGCTCATTCAAGGAGTCAAATATGTCAGTTAAATAAGCCAACTTCCATTGAAATGTGTCATCTTTGAACATTGTAAAGAAATCGTGTTTTTCTTTGAAGTCAAGAAAAAGAATTACATCTTCTTTCAATTCATAAAGACGAGCCAACATGTTGCCTTTGGACAGCCAGCTTACTTCTGTATGGAACAGAAGAACTTTGCGATCAGAATCGAGATTCTCGCAAAGTAAACTAAATAACCGACGGTTCAAAGCGCTGCTCTTGATGTAGTTTACAATTCTTATAGTCGAGTCCAAGGTCTGGCGTAATTTCTGTGGCAATGTTTTGGAAGCCAAAGCTTGCCGACGAATAACACGATGTGTACTAACCATTGCGGATTTTTTTTCCTTGAGCTTTTTAGCTAAGCCCGATCGTACAAGTAACATTGCGGGTGCGCCATCTGTGCAAAGTCTAATAAGTTTCTTCCAATCCAAATATTTTTTTTCAACAAAATTTGATATTGAATTAAATATATCTTCAGATGTAGTACTTGCTGTCAAATATTGGGAGTACAAAATCTCTTCTTGAATGATATCTCCGGCGATGTAACGAACATAAGCTGTTAACTGTGCACAATTAACGATGTCGGTGGATTCATCGCAACTAATGGCAAAAAATGGCGATAATTTCACTTTGTTAATTATTTGTGACTTCATGTCTGCTGCAATGCCATCGATTCTACATTTGACGATGTTATTCGAAAGAGAAATAGACTTCATTTTTTGCTCTGCATCTTCTCCTAAAATTATCTCCGTGGCTTTTAAAACACATGGTTTAATTTCTAATTAATTCTTCACCGATAGTATGAGCTTTCTTTTGCTTTGCTATTATAAAAGCTATTTCAAATGAAGCTTTGAGATGCTCTGATACACCTGTGTGATATCTTCCCGATTTATCCGCTTGAGTGATTCTGCTTTAGAAGCAAAAAACTCTTTCGTCTTCAAAACCAGATTAGGATGTTGCTCCTTCAAATGCCTTTCAGGGTGATTGGGCCTCGTGCTATCATTACTCAAAACTTTCATACTTATCACACACTGAGGCAATTGTAACTCGGCTTTTTCTATGAAGGTAAATAATAAATAAAATTTCTTTTTTTCGCTACCATTTTGCACCTATAACAATCAAACAAATAAGTAATAAATAAATAAGCAAAATACCTACATGTAATTACTAATTATATGGCCATTATGTTATCTTAATAACGTAATGTATTAACAGTATATTGGCCACCGGGAGATTTATATTTTTGTAGGCAGGTTGACGTTATAATACTAATTTTAAATACATTTAGAATCAATATTAGGTACTTAAAGCTCGTCGTTTAAAAATTATTTCGCCACGTTGGTTTGATCGTGATGTGGTAAAAAAGTCTCAATGGCCGATCTATGAACGCGTTTCCTCTCAATCAACAATTTAGTAAATTAAATAAAAATGGTAACTGAAGTTTGTAAATACACAAACCTACCTTTTAACAGTGAGACACAATAATTTGACACACTCAAACAGATTTCTCAACAAAACATGTACATCGAAACCTCAAATTTTTCGCAAGTTTGTGGGAATGAATGTCACAGATGCTCATCCGCATCTGGTAGGTACACAATTGTATTCTAAGTGATGAATGTTAAGCGGAGCGCGGCGGGGGTGCACGCAAATTTTATGTTGGTACTTGTCAAAACTTGTATAAACTGCGATTGACGACGCCGCGTTTTGAAACAGCGGTTGACAGAATAAGTAAATATACTAAGTGACATATAAATCCGAACACCCAGTTTAAATGGTTTTATTTTAATAAAATTTTGTATAAGTACTTAATGAAGCATAATAAGTAAATGATAAAAATTTCAAAATGATTGCACTGCTTTAAAGCCCTTTGACCTTTAATAATGTGTGGATGCACCCTGATGTGCTACGCATTCTCCAACGCGCCTAGGCATGCTTCTGATCAGGTGGTCAATGTCCTCCTGTGGTATCTCATACCAGGCAACCACCAACTCCTCTCGAAGTGCTTCTAGAGTCTGAGGAGGACGTTGCAAATTGAGCAATCTCCTACCCATCATATCCCACACGTGCTCAATTGGGGATAAGTCGGGAGATCTTGGTGGCCATGGTGACAATGTGACATCATTATGTTGAAAGGAGTCTATTGCGACTCTTGCAACATGTGGTCGGGCATTATCTTGTTGGAAAGTTGGATCTGCCAGGGTATCAAGATAGGGTAAAAGATGGGGTTCTAGAACTTCGTGGATATAACGCTGCGCGTTCATGTTACCTCTGATGAAGATTAAAGGTGACCTGGAACCATAAGCTATAGCACCCCAAACCATAACTCCAACAGTGTGATGAACATGTCTTTCAACAAAAAACTGTGGATTCCTCCTTTCACCACGTCGCCTTCTAACCCTGGCACGACCATCGTCCATGCCTAAACAAAATCGAGACTCGTCACCAAAGACAATACTGTTCCATTCCTGATCCCAGAGTGACCGTTGTCTGCACCACTCAAGGCGATTACGTCGGTGTTCTCGAGTTAAAGGGAGGACCCAGTGTGGCCGGTATGAAAACAAGCCAAAACTTCTCATTCGTCGGTAAACACTTCGCATGCCAGTAGGTCTTCCGTGTTCTGCAAACCATTCATTTGCAATGGACCTGGTAGTGGAGAAACGGTCCCTTAAGGCCAATAATCTTAGGCGGCGATCTTCACGGTCTGTTGTTCTACGGCGGCGTCCAGTGCCCCTTGCTCTTTGCGTACGGCCTTCTCGAAGCCATGCCTGACAACACCTAACCACAGTGTCTACACTTCTTTGCACTCTAACTGCAATTGCCCGAAAAGAAAGTCCAGCTTCCCGAAGTCCCACTATACGGCCCCTATCAAACTCACTAAGTTGACGAAATCGTACAGGTCTCCGTACTCTAGGCATCGTAACCGATCGTAAAGGATGTCAAGAACCAAAATCCGCCAACGTTGATTCTTGACTGCGGCTGAAATATTCATTTTTAGAGCGTTAGTGAATTAAAAAAAGCAGTACAAAAACCGGAATGTCCAACTGATAAGGCTGAAAATTTTTTCACTTGTTATTTACAGTAAGATAAAATACATTCACCAACTTTTATTAAAGTAAAACCATTTAAACTGGGTGTTCGGATTTATATGTCACTTAGTATATATTTAATTTCTAATTTCATGCGTGTAAATTAAACATTACATTGTAATGTTATTTGTTAATGTTGTTTGTTTATTTTTTTTGTTTTTCTTCCTAAAATGCTCTATGCCCCCCTTGGGAGGCGGGCCCTCCTGGCTGTGAACTCCTGAGCTAGAAGACTCTGTTTTATAATTTGTTAACCAACTCTATTCATTATTCATCTAAATTTTACCTTTGGTTTTATTCACTTTTTACCTTTTATTGCCACTTTGTGTTTCATGTTTGTTTGATTTACGTGTTGTTTTTTGTTTTTACTCACTCTTTTATGTAGTAGTTTAGCAGACTTGTGTAAACACATTTCTGTGTAATAGCACCAATAAATTATTATTATTGTCATTAATCGAAACTGAAATCTTATTTGTCAGGACACTCTGTACATGTACTCAAGTAACACGGGTAGCGTATCATACTGTGAAGGGTCGCTACGATTAACATAGAGGCCACAATATATACGTAATAATTTTTATATTGTGACTTTTTTGCTCTGAACATTGTTAATCACGTTACGAAGGTTATTTATCTCAACCGGAAATCCCCGTAGAATCTAATAAGGAAAATAAGCACGCACCAAATCGAAATACGTGATGAAATACCTGAGAAAATTACTTATCATCACTCAATTTGCTTCGAAATGAGTTGTTAACTCCCCCAGGATGAAATTTTATCGCGGAAATTATATTGGCACATGCCTCTTCCGCGTCCATCTAATTTGGATGGAAAATCTCATTTCAGTTGTTTGGATAACATGCGTTTTTTCACCCGAGTCACTGTTCATTTTTTTATTAAATAATATGAGATAGATATGTTAATTAAAGAAAGTCCTTTGTCTTTGTCAAATTATCGATCTGGAGATCTCTGGGGTACGTTCAAAGGATGACAGCTGTAAGTATCCAAAAAACTATGTACATGTACGCAAATACTCGTACATATCACTGAAAGGCCTCCCTGACGTCGTCTGAAATCTGGACAGCAAGACCTGACAGACCAACTGACCTACAATACTTTAACCAAGAGCAGAGGTCCCACGGACAATGACGAATAGACCACTGAAAGGTAACTAAAAGTTTGAAGTATATTTCTGTCATGTCCTTTTGTCCAACTTGAATGTTTTTGCTAGTAAGCACTTCAAAGAGAAAGTCGTTATAACTGTTCTCTGCAACTCATCTGCAGGCACGTCCAATAACCTACATGTAAAATGTTGTTATCTCCGAAGCTGTGGATCGGATTTACTTATAGGAAAGGTTATCAATAAGAGAACCAAAACTAATCGCACGAATTATGTTTGCCAGTGGCGAACGAAGGTTTTTAAAAAAATAACCTTTATTTCCTGCTGATGAATCTAACTACCACTACAATAGTTGATAGCTATCCGATTACCAACAACAAAAGGTACAACGGTTTTTATAAAGTCCTATAATAGGAATACACACATAAGCTAATGCTTAAGAAGCATGGAGGACGTATCAGGTTGCATGTATGAGATAATTCCAAGTTTTCTAACAACGGTAATAGAAGGATACTTTGATAACGCCAAAATAATGCAATATAATAATTATATTGTATAGAGTGAGCCTAAGTACATAACTCACGGGAACATCTAAGACATTGTGGTAAAGCTTCTCTGTGAGGACATTGGAGAGCGTCTTGGCTTAACTGATCGAAAGCTTTTCAAATATCAAAAGCAATGACATGAGCTACATAATGCTGAGCAACCAAACGTATTTGACGTTGAAGACACCCAGGAGCCTTATTTGTGAGAGGGAGGTGTGCTGTTCAAGAAATAAAACTCGACCGAGAGAGAAGAAACCACTACGGTGAACAGTAAGGTCAGTAAATACCAAATTTGACTGTACCTCGGGAAATCCAAATTTGACCAGACTGAGGCAACTTACTTTTCAATAAGAAAAGCACACCGGGATCGTAAGGCTGTAGATAGTGATGAACAGATACTTAAGAAACATAATTATTCAGCGTTCTGGGGAGGGTGTCGATCCCTCAACAAGATTTGTCGATCGAAAATGTCGAACGCATCAGCAAATTGGTTTTTCATTTCGATATCAGTGTCGCATGCAAAAGATTCTCGCTTTGTCACTGTGTTGTCACTTTTGTAAAGCTCTTGCATTTCAAGGCGGGTGTTGTAAAGAGGTTTTTTATATAGAAGCAGCCATGTAGGCGGAAGCCTAAAAAATACCAGGACAC